CCCCAAAACCCCAAAACCCCAAAACCCCAAGAGGATAATTAAAATAGTGATTAGAAGTAATAATTATTAAGTTAAAATAAAACTGAAAGGAATGATTATTATTTTATGTTAGCATTTTTTACTATATCAAATCAGAATGTTTGCATTAACTAGCTGTAAATTTCCAAGTTGGTTTTGCCACTGCCAGAGGTAGTCTTGCCCTCTCCCTTTTTCAAGATCTTGTCGTGACTTATCTTGCTGTTTACCACTGCGTTGCACTGGTTCAGCATCTCTGTTGCCATTAAGTCTATCTAACTGGTGCTAGTGATATTGTGAGGGTTATCATTGCTCAACTTAGTGTTCTTTTTAATCAGAGGCTTGCCTTGTGTCTTCTTGTCTAGAGAATCCGCTATTTCCAAGGATGGTACATCTAATCCAAAGTTAGAGTCATCCTGGTCAATGTCACCTGCGAATCTAAGCTTTTTGCTTCCTCCCTTGGGATCATTTAATACAGAGTTTCTATAGTACATATTATAGAAAGAGCTTTCCATGTAAGAGGCTTGCATCAAAGCTTCGATCTTCTGTCTTTCATTTTGCGAGTGACTAGAGTGCTTCTTTCTTCTTTGCTGGTATGGATTCAGAGATTTCACTTCAAGCTGTTTAGACATCTCTTGTTATTTTTCTTTTGAGACAGCAATAGGGTTGACTACCTGAGGCAGTTGAAAGTGAGACTAAGTAGCCATCTGACTGTGATGAGTTTAGTAAAAGTTCTTCTCAGTCCCGTCCTGATTCAAACTCTCGTTCTTGTTCCTAGTAGGCTTGGCAATTGGCAAGAAGAAGGCGCTTTTACTGGTATTCAGCATCGTGCTGTTCTTCTGTCTCTGCAAAAATGACTGCTAGGTGTGGTTAAATCCACTTGAGCTCTGAGCGGACTGCAAGACATCTCCTCCATTCTTGATTACTGGCGAGTTCATCGACTCATTTGGCCTTGACTGCCTGACTGAGGTGTTCGGTGAAACTGCCTATGACCCTTATTTGGCTCCAAAGGGGTTGGTTGGAGATTAAAGAACTCCAGGTGCATGCATAGAAACTGATTAAGCTGCCTTAAAGTGGAGTTTTTTGTATTCTTTGTTAATATACCTAGCCATTACATGGTTCTATGACATGTATTAAGATGATGCTCTTCTGAGCCTGCTGCTTGAAGTTGTTGAGTAGAAAGTCTTTAGCTTATCAGAGCCAGCTTAAAACACCAAGTTAAGTGGACTCAGTTCTTTCTAACTCAGTCTCCTGGGTATAATCTGTTGCTGATCATTCGACACCCCACTCTTGTTAGTGTCTCTTGTAGGATCCTGGTTCATCGTGCCAGCCCTGTTAATCAGTTTCTCATTCTAGTGCTTCTAGTGAGAGCCAATCAGATTGCTTTTGATTTAGTCTACGACCATCTCCGCTATAACATTTTTCTTGGGGTTCTTATTGTCCTTATTCTCCATGGAGTTTCTGTTTTAAGTAATGGCGTCTATTACTCTCTCAAGCTAGGTGGAGGCAGTGAATCTCATCTTTGGCTGAATTTCCTTTGAAACATCTCTTTCTCTGAACTCATGCACCATTTTCTTGTTCACTGAGCCCTCCGTGTCCAACAAGTTCTTATAGTGCTCAATTGATTGCTAAATTTGTCATTTTTAAGAAATCATTGTAAAGCTTACCTGTATTCTCACTTTTTCAGTGACAAAACTCTTGGTTCTTATAAGTGCGTCGCCCAGCATCTTAGATCTGTCCTCCTTCATTCTAAAGTTGTTCTCTTGTGGCTTGTAGTTAGTGATCTTCATCGGTTCCAAACTCATCTATTTACATTTAATTATCAATCTCATCATTATTATAATATTTGATAAAGCACCAAAGCAATGCCCATTAGTATTGTTATATGAGATGGGTCGGGCCAATGGTAGTTAGACTAACTTACATCTTGGATGAACTTTTCGACTCTGCTTTTGTAGTTCAGGGCTAGTTGCTCTCTGTCGCCGATGTGTTTATTCTTAAAGCGGCTCTCCTTGCTCTAATCGCCATCCATTTTCTTGAACTCTTCGAGTCGCTTGGTGAATGCGTATCCGTTCAGCATATTTAATTAATTCTCCTAGAAATCTATTTTATTAATTTACAGCGATTATATAATTATCGATTATAAAATAAAATGTAAAATATGAGCTTATAGAATCAAAACGGTATTGGTCCTCTAATCAGCAGATAACTAACTAGCGCAGCTTAGTTCTAAAAATAGTAGACAACCATTAAATCTCTATAGCATTCTAATTCGCATGTGAATTTCACTCATTTCCAATAACCCATTAACCCTAGAGTACTTGAATTCAATCCTCAAGCAGTAAGTTTTTTCTTTAAATGCTATTCTTAAACATTTTCATTAATCTATTAAAAAATGCATAAGGTATTCATTTAACTTAGTAGTCAAGTAAAGGGTTTGATAGTCATAATGAAAATAGCGAGATCATAGCCAACAATATGATGATTAACAATTAGGGGTATAATCAAACAGTGAATTCAAGTGGTACGGGTGCGAAGCCCAAGATATTTAGAATTAGTTCAAACAAAATTCCAGGTTTTAGTCACTAGAGTAGTATGGGAGGAGTGGCAAACAGCATAAGCAAGCCTTCCCACGGTTATATATCCAAGCTGCCTTCTAATCCACAAAACATTCTTCAAAAGAAAAACACCAAGTAAAAAGCTTAGTTGGAGTTAGACAATTTCGTTCTCGAAAGTATACCCAAGTAGATTGTGGTGGTGCCCAAAGCTATAGATTAATAACTCAGCCAAAATGAGCTTGAGTCTCAGTCAATACAGAAAGGGCATTTAGATTCTAGATAGTCTGATAACCAGCACTCACCTACTGATCAATGGAAGGAACAGCAGCAGCTGATTGAGAATTTTTATAATCAAAGATATGGAAGCAAGTAAAATAGTGGTGGAGTTAGCACTGAGGAAAAACGAGTGAAATTTATGCAGCAACAAAATAACTCAGAGTCCCAGATCTAATATGATAAGGAACTCTTAGACGAAAATATCGTAGGGTAAGCACTATTCTATAGTAAATGTGTGATTTAGGAAAATAGAAGATTATAAGACTCACAACGATAAGAAAATAAAGAAATTTCATAAGATTATCAAGGACTATGAGAAGTCAGATGTGCTATCAAGGATACAGAAATATGGCAAAAAGTCACTTTATGAAGAGCTTAAGCTATAAGAGATCGACCTCAAGAAGCAATTGTAATTTGAAGTGCTTTGATTATTATAGGAGGATAAATGCCAAGTTAGAATAAGAGGAGCAGTCACCAGACAAAAAGAATCCGTAGAATATGATACAAAAGAACATACTTTAACAAAGTAGTGCTTCGGAGTACTAAATTACCAATGATCTTGGATAGATACCTCCTAACATACCCTTCTCAAATATGGCTCTATTCACTAATCTTTCTGAGAAGGAGAGATTTATCAAGTTTTCTACTGAATTCAACAAGGTTAAGGCTTAGTTGGAGGCTCATAGGCATGAAGACTATAGTATTTGCTTGTTGGTAATAACTACTTTGTGATTATTAAAATTTGTAGTATTTGAAAGCTAAGATTGGGTACAAGATTGCTGAACCTACAAGAGATCAAGTCAAGAACTTTATGAAGTTTGTGAAGGACGAGAAGAGGCTATTTGACTTAAGAAAGCAATACGAGGAAATCATAATAGAGGCAATGGATGGATTGTATAGTTATGAGAGAGCATAGGAGTATCATGAGAGAAAAAGAAGAGCACAGACAGCTGAGATAGCTGATACACTTTAAAATCATTAGTAAAAGCTGCTTGAGATGCTGGAGCAATAGTAAGTATATAAAACTAATGAATATTAATAGTAAAACTGATATGGGATAAAATTATGTCATATGGAATTAGAAAGCAGAATTTAACTATGATGGGATTCCTAATAAGTTTCCTCTGACTGGGCCTCGTAGAAAGATAAACAGACGAAGAAACAAACTTCATTACCAGAGAAAAGTGCCCTATGGCAACTAGCCAATGAAGCTCTAAACTATCATGTCTAGTTACATAGATGAAAACAAGAAACTTTCAGCTAAGGAATTCATTCCCCCTTCTCTAGAGAATTAGTACCCGTGTGCAGTGAATTTCAACAAAGAGACAGTGAACACAGTGCTTAACTTTGCCTAGGAATCCAAGGTGCATCTCATGAGTTCAATGAGCACTAATAACTTGAGCACCAAGCCAACCTCATCTGCTGGACAGAATATTCTAAGTGACATCAAGCGAAACAGATCAGCTGTAAATCTAGAGAAGATCTCTAGAGAGGCTGACGGTCAAGCTCATAACTCAAACAATCCAATGACGCCATACTAGCAACATAGACATTAGCATGGAGTTCCTAGTAACTCTATGCTAAAATCTTAGTCACAGGTTGTCATAAGCAATATTTCGCAACAGCAGTCGGATCAGAAGGCATAGATGTAATCCTCTCATATGTCTCAGATGCATTCGCAGTCTCAGCAGCAATAATCGTCTCAGATTGAGAACGAAAAAGCATATTAAAAGATATCGAAGTTGAATAATGTGGAATCTGAGTCAGTTTTTAAGAGGAATAGACTTATGTTAGAGCATGTCATGCTTGAGAGAGCCATGAAGAAACTCAATAAAAGGCAAGAGAGGAAAGAAGCGAGGAAACTGCAGGAGAATAACGGTGGCACTAATGACTGGAAAATGAGATAAGCAATCAGTAATGAAGTATTTGAAATGCAGAGACAGTCAACTGCACCTAACAGAAGAGGGAAATCAGTTCTTTGAAAATAGATAAATTTATGAGCCAATGATAAATCTTTAAGTATAATAATTTCTAATAAATTTAATTTGCAATGGAGGGCTAGCAAGAATTCAACATCTAAGTTAAAGTGGCAACTATCGAAGACAAGGATCATGTGCTCTACCTTATGAACGAGAATGCCAAACTGATAGGAGGCTATGAGAAGGAAAAGTTTGAGTTTGCTGGAGAGTACGTACTTAAGAACGAACACTATGGGTTTTTCATTCTGGCTTTTGATGAGAGATCTCAACAAGATGAGGAATAAAGCAGTGGACAGGACATGAAGCGAGCAGCTGGGTTTATGTTCTTTACCTATGAGTGGAGTGACTGGAGAAGCGGGTTGTTCTTCTGGATGCAGTCCTGCCATGTAGCTGAGGAATATAGAAAGGCAGGCGTCTTTACTAAGATGCATGAGTTGCTGCAAAAAGTCATGACAGAGAAGAACTGTTGTGGAATTAGATTGAACTCTGAGATCAGGCTGGAGAAGTAATGGGCTCCAATAGTAAATAAACTTGGACTGAAAAGAGCGCATTATCACATCTATGAAATCGATGTGGCAAAATGATCATCTAAATTATTTTAATGACTATTGCAGAATATTTATTAGTTGTCTTCTCTTTATATCTTTGATTACGGGGTTTTGGGGTTTTGGGGTTTTGGGG